AAATCTACGAACCCCGTACGAACTAGTGTCAGAAAAGAAAAACGCAACAATATATTAATTATGACTTAACTACAATGCGATTACTTACCTGTAAGCAGGCAAAGGGATTATATTTTACGGGTACTGAATTTAAAATTTATTTCACGCATGCTATTTGATGTGAAAGTTATCGGTCAATTTCTCTTCATAGAGATGCAGTAAAATGTAATTCTAGTTCTCCTATTTTTTATATGCTTAATATTGTGTTAAATATTGGGTATATATTAATTTCGTGCATGTGTTAGATTTAACTAACTTCATCAGTTTGCGTTACGAATTAACATATAAAGTATTATAAGGAATCATTTCGGGTGTAGGAACGGAATTCATTTTACATTAAATCCTATCGGAAAAACTGTTTCAGTTTACGAATATTTTGATGACGAACTGTTTTCAGAAAAGAATTAAGCTAGTGAATCAAGATTTCACAGTATTCTTGGATAAAGGATTCTAGAAATTTGAGATTCGAAAAATTCAAGAAGTATTCGGATTCCAGGAAAATTTCATCTTCTTCCTTTGCTTTTTTGGCGAATAAGAAAGTGATACTCAAAATGAATTACCTTTTATTATCATGGATTATGACCCCACTTTTTAAACTATAGCGGATAAAATAGTCTAGATATAAAAACCTATTCTTAAATCTCTGACATTTATATAGAAAATTGAAAAATTATCCACATATTTGCCTTTTAGTATGAGTGTATTACAAAAACATCTGAAATTCGGCAAAGAAAAGAAATTATTATTAATAAACAAAATTAATGAAAATTAATTACACAGTAGAATCTTTTTTAAATGGCAGCAATAGAACCTCACCGATTCCCGATAAGTGATTTTTCGGGATAACTGAATTTCTAAAATCTACTGCTTGTTTCGTGATGTCGTCTGTAGAAATTGCAGCATAAAAAGTCCTTCGGTGGAGTTCTTAGATCTTTCGACCACAATTACATGACAAAATGATTACATGAAATTTGTGAACATCTTAGTGGAATTGCATATAACTTCAACGATGCGCTTGCTTATTGTTGCAGTAGTCTTAACACTTCCTGTGTATACAGTGAAGCTTCATAACATCGTGTATTCACATAGATGAGCATTTCTCAGCAAGACTTATTAAAGTCTGCAATTCTTCCTCTACTTCCTTCCATACACTTGCTTTCCGTATTGTTTTCTTCACCATCCTGCATCCTTATTTCATCATCATCTCGAAAGAGAAATAAATTTAAATATTAATTAAGAAAAATAAATTTGTCTGTACACAACAAAACCTGCATTTCCTCGTCTTTAATACTAACCTTGTTTGGATGTGCAACTAAATCCAACAAGCTGCAACCAGCGCCTAACGAGTTTCAAAATCAAGAGAACTTTCGTCATTCGTTAGCCACGAACATGACCATAGGCTGCAATGTACGCCAACATTGCCGTGATATTCTTTTACATCTTTTTTCGAAACAGGAGACAAAGTGAATCTGTACCTTACATAAAATTACATTGTTTCTAAAAATCATGGGCATTACTTTTAAAGTTAATGTATTGACGTAATTGCTTCTCTATATTCTAGATAATTCCTTGCTGCATCGGTTTGATAACGCTTGCTAAATTCAGCGTCAGAAACATAACATAAATCGTTTCCTCATTTAAATATCCAAATTGTTAGCCCCTTATGTTTTTTTTATCTCAAACTAGATTTTGGATCAAAATTTAGATTAATCTAAAATCAAATGCGAATGAAATCTTCAAAAATGTGATCATTTTGATATTGCCACTAACTGGGTGTTGGTTACGAGAGATTTTACTGTAATTCTAATATTATTTAATATTATTATTGTGGGATGGCATCGTTCATTATAATCGGATAACGCGACAAGCTGTGAGAATAAATCTTTTACTTCTCGATGATAGAAGGCAGACGATTCCGCCATTAAGACGATGACGCGATTAAAAGATGTTTGCATATTAAAGACTATTCCTTCTCTTCATTTGTAAATAATCTCATCTATTTCCTTCTACGTATGTAATTACTTTGTAGTTTGTAGCAACTATTCATGTTTCATTAAATATTCAAGTTTTTACATAAATCGGACTAGTTTATTAGCCCCTAGACAGCCACATCGGAAGTAAGTTTACAAACATCATATTCCTAGACAGTAAGTACCGATCTTACATTATATTAAAGAATATGCTTGTGATTCCTGATTCTGATTTCGAGCTTCATGGCTGGGTGGAATGGTATGGAGTATATGACTAAATAATTTTTTGAATAAAAATTTCAATTAAAATCCCTTAAATTCATCTGAATAAAAATAAATTTAGAAACAGTATTTCGTGAAAAATCTTGAATTATTGTTATCGATTCTAAAATTCGTTTCGATAGTTCTTCAGTATTTAAGCAAATATGATTCGATGCAATTAGTCGAGAAATAGTCGTTGACTTAGTTACAAATTTAGAAAAACTGAGAAATGAAATGAAGCAACAGCTTTTTTATACATTTCAAGAGAACGAGTATAAAAAGGCAACAACATATCATTTTAACAATGTCTTCAAAATTTCGCTTACTGTCGAATCCCGCAATAACAAATCTCCGGATATAACGAAAGAAACCTTTGGTCCGATCCAGTTCCCTACTGTTTTATATTGCTATAGCGAAACCTCCAAAGGTATGAAAATAAGATAAAATGAGCTGCACGAATATCTTCGTTTGAAAGCTTTTTTTTTAATACTTTTCCAGAATTTCTGTAAGCGAAAAAACTATTAACCTTTAAAATCATCCACGTTCAAGAAATTAGGATCCATCCGAAAAGCCAAACATCTTTATGTTACCTTTCTTTTATCTTACCGCTACTTTCCTCTGTTCTAAACAAAGACTTTGCTAGACAGGGATAAAAACAGTTATAGGAGAACGATGACACAATAACGAACCTGTTATGACGCCATATAGCAGTGGTTCCCCAAAACTTTTAAGATTTCATTTTAGCTGCTCATGCCGTACAGCAACCACGTGTTCTCAGGAATTTGCATGTTATAATATGTTTAGATAATATGTTGTTATGTAGTTTTTCAGCAACCTTTCGACCCTAAATTGAGTCGCATCCCCTAATTTGAAAACCATTGCCATAAAGTGTCATCAACCTTTGAATCAAAGGATATGAATGGGTTCTCTGACTAAATTCATGTTTGACTGAATTATCAAATTTAGCTTTATTCAAGACTGATGCGATGATGGAAATTTTGAAATTTTCGCTATTCAGGGAAAGAGGAAGCAATGAATCATAATAGCTTGGATTACAGTTCAGAAAACGAATAATTCGTCTTTCAGAGAATGAAATTTTTATCCTTATAGATTTGTCTTGTGCGTGTTAATGTTCCTTCCAATAAGGGTTTTGCATTCTTTTGGTCTTTTGCAAGACATGGGATATTTCTATACCAAAGGGGCAATTTGCCCAGAAGTGCTATTAATTTCATTTTGGCATTTTGCGTTAGTTCATTATAAAAGTCTGAATCATATTTTAAATTGTTGCCACCAGATATTAGAGCCCTATATTATATGTAAAGAAATTAAATAATTAAGACTCTTCATGAGTGCATGTATTTTTATCGCACTGTGAAAAAACAACGGTACCGAGAGACATCAAATTTTGAATAACGTAGTCCTCCACTCGAATATGGGCACCTGAAAGCCCAAATTGAGAATTAGTTTTATTATCTGGTTCATATTTGGTAAAACTTTAACGAATTTTTAATTAACAAACTGAACGATTTCAAAGCGTTCCATTAACATTAGCATCGCGTATATTTTCCAAGCACCAAAATTTTATGCCCGAGGTCACTTTTTTTGTGATACTGCTGTTGGATTGAATTTTATGGTTTAAGTGGGAAGAAAATGATATTTAGTAAATAAAGGTAACACACAAAATGTTAAAAAAAAAAGTCGCTTTGGGCATAATACAAAATCTGAAATCTTTCAGATTTTTTTTTCATAAAGTTATTTAATCTTTGCTTTGCAACTATGGAAAAAATGCTCTTGCAATCCGCGTTCATGGCAGCGGAAGATTACAGATTATTTTTGAACTCAAATTAAGTAAAAGGTAAATTCGTCAATATTTTTGGTTATTCATTTTTTAAATTTTTATATTTTTATGGATAATCGATTATTCATAGTTATAAATGGAAGATTTAAGGGAAGGATCAGAACAATGATATTTATACTAATATTAACGTGTAGTGAAACTGGAAAAGAACAATCAACAAATTTTATAGCTGCGAGTAATGATAACCGTAATTAAATCTTAACATGCTTCTTTTTAAATTACATATACATTGTACTTCCTCGCGACTCTTCACCTTTTTAACTAATTTTATCATCCAAAAGTCAAAGGAGGAAACGTTATGCGAGTAATTTAATTTCGAAGAATGCGGTTGGAGTAAGAACATAACAAATGAAAAATAGTCATGGAGAAACTTCTGGTAACTATCACAATATTATTTCATCAAAATAAACTAAGAATTCGTTAAGAATGCATAGTTATATTAACACTACAGTATCTGACAGATATTGAGCCTATACTTAATGGTAACAGCCAGATGCGTCGCGCTCAGGCTCAGTTACCTTGTAATGCCCTAGGGGCCCCTCACATAAATAAGCCTTAACATCAGTTCAAAAGAGGGATATCCGTGGAACGAAGGAAAAGAGGGTTGAACAAAAGGCATGATTTGCAGCAAACATAGATAAGGCTGCAATCATTTGGATTGTAAATAATAGAAGCAAGATGGAATCCTATGTTTGGAAAGTTACTTAAGTGTGTGACAACACCTGCCACGTTCAGGCAGCTTAAAGGGGGATTTGCATAAAATGTGTTTCAAATAATAAATGCAAGGGAAAATAAAATAGATGAAACTCTAATACAAAAATACAAATAGAAATTTAAATAAAAATAAAAATAATTAAGAAAATATAATTTACCGTTAAACTAGTGTAACAATATTCACACCTCTGATAAACATTCGCTTAATTAGAGAACTTCGTGTTTGTCCAGAGACTAATTTTCAGTTAGAAATATCTGCGGAAATGAGTTAAGGAAATCCCCTGGGCAGTTTCCGGGCGAAACTGTCATTTTTATGTCCGCTAAATGGTCAAAGTGCTCAACATGTCAAAAACAAAGACGATGTCGTAAAAGACGCCCTCTGAAGCGTTCCTACAGACGTTTAACTTAAAAGGAAAGAAAAAGGTTTTTGTGTGTGATTTTATGCAGAGAGAGACTTGAGTGAAGTCGCGCCCGACGAGAAGCCACATCCAGCGGCCGGTTTTTGTATTATGGCTGTACCTTTTTTGATTATTTACTTTTTATTATTCAAGAAAACCTTATTAAGTTTCAAAATAAATATTTAAAAGGCCGATGTTATGTTTATTTATCCATCACGGATTAGCCCTCACAGAGAAAAAATTACGTATATAGGAAGGGCGAAATTAAAAAAATTTTCAGAACCTAGCGCTAAAACTTAAAAAGGAAAATATGGGAGTGGAAAAAATATGCGTGGAAATACAGCATTATTAACTTCTTTTAGTAGATGTAATAATATTAAACAGTTTTTTTTGTTGTTGTGTTTTTGTGATTCATCATTCAATTTTTATATTTTTGTGAAATAATCCTTTTCTCTTATCGGATCAGACACAGAGAACTAAATTTCTGGTCCCTTGAAGTTCGATTGTATACGTAGAGGAAAAGAAAATTAAGTTGCTTTCAAATACGAAATCTGCAAAATACGGAGAGAGAGAAACGCCAATTAGGCCTCTTCAAAGACAAGCTCCCTCCAAAAAAAAAAAAAAAAAAAAAAGAGTGAGAAAAAAAGGGGAAAAAAAGCCCACCCCCAAAAAAGAAAGGAAGAAGGGAAAAAAGAAAGGAAGAAAGAAGAAGATCAAAGTCTAATGCTGACGCAGCTTTTGTTCATCAGATTTTATTTAGTTCAAGAGGATTGTCCCTTCAAAGTCAATTAAATCTGTTTACAGCAGAAAACTTCGGAGAAGTGAATCTAACCTTCCCGGAACATATTGTAGTCTCCTGCCCTTACCCTAGAATTTGGTATTTTCCAAATGACTGGCAGGAGAGCAACAAACTAAGGATTATGTTGCCTATGGCTAAATCTGTTTAAACCATGATGACAAAATTTTCCTTAGTGCTAATAATGAAGCATCAAAACACAAATTTGACTCGTTAGTTTACTTTTAATTCATTACACTTTAAAAAAATAGCTTAAAATAAGCATTATATTTTTCAGATATTATATTTATGAGTGTAATAAACTTAAATTAAAAATATTTAAATTTTTATCCGTTTAAAAACATTAAAGCTAAGTAAATATGAATAAATTTTTGAAATTTTCTTAATTACTAATTTTTATATCTTTGATAATTATACGAGTTGAAAATTAAAAAAAAAAAAAAAAATTTCTACAATTAGAGCCTTCATTTAAATACTCATAACAATCTGCAAACAATTTTCGAGTAAAAATAAATGAAAAGAAATTTAAAAGAAGAAACTGTTTTCTGATTATGTTAATATTCATTACGACAAACATAAATACATAAATGAATGTATAAGTTTACTTAAAAAAGATTGATTCTTTAAAAAATCTTATCCGAAGAAAAAGTGTGGCCAATTAATGGTGATAGTACTTAAAAGTGGAAAAGATATTTTAGGCTTAAGATGAAAAATCAACTTTTGTTATGAAAGCGAAAAAAAGAAGGTAAAAGGGGATGTAAACAAGGAAATTAAAAGATGATAAAAAAAAATATCAGTACCTTTCTTAAATGCTTCAAGAGCCCTTTTCAAGGTTTAGTATTTAAAACATTAAACGGGATTATAATGGGTGCCGAACAACATCTTCGTTTCTCTCGACCTATAAGACTACTATAATCGTTGTAAGTTTAATTGTCTTCTTGTAAAATATTTTATTTAGTCTTTCGAATGGTCTTATAAAGCTATTTGAAAATATAAGACTTCTAATATATATAAATGAATATAAAATATGCAATATAAACATATTATCCTTACTATTTTGAAAATTTTTATAACTTAAAGTGGATATACCAAATATTAAAATTTATAATAATGCCAAATACACCACACACACCACACAAATATATATATTATATATATTATAAAGGAATTAAGATAATTTTATATGTGCCATACCAAATAAAGGGGAATTATGCTAAAGAAGCAAAAAAGTAAGTATTATTAATGCAAAAAATTGTTAAAAAATCTAAAACTCTCGAAAGACTATAAATAAAAAAATAACTGACGAAATAATGAAACGGTTATTCTGTAATTTTACCTTGTATATTAAAAAAAAATAAAATAAGTAAAAAAGAGCAAGGAGAAAGTTAAAATAATAGAAGGATATTGTTGTTTTTAAAACTCTGTATCAGAGAAGACTGTTTAAATTAAAATGCAGTTACATAATTTTTTATACAAACTTTTATTTAAAGGATATAATAAGTAATGAGCTAAAAGAGAAAAATAGCTTATCATCCGTTAACAAGATAAGACTATTGTTATATACAATATATTAATATTAAAACATGTATTATACAATATATATGCAACATTTTCTTTATTTTATATCATCTTGAAAACAGTCTTACATATTATATAACGCCTACTTATGTATAATTTATGAAAATAATGTTATGTAATTGTTCTTTTGTTGAAGAATAATCAATACATGAGAGAATATGAACCTCTCGTTGCCTCCAGGGCGATGGAATTAAGTGTATTAATTTTGTTCCCTGCTGGCATCAGTCAACGAGACCGTGGTTCACCTCAGAATACCCACCTAAAGAATCTATCAAAAGGATCTGCCGCAGCGAATGTAGACAAAGGGTGAAAGTGTCTTTCTTAATTAAGCGTAGACTTCGAAAAGGCATTCCCCCAGGTGAAACACCCCTTCGCTTCTACCCACCCATGTATCTTGGCAGAAGAACAATGATCTTCGTGTTCAGATTTCACCGAGGAATCGAAGGAGATTGCGCAGAGCAGAAAGAGGTTGTTCACCTGCGGTCGAAGTTAAGGTTAACTCTGAAGGAAAACCAAGAGAAGAACGCAGACACTTTCGAATTAAAAAGATTCGGAAAAGGTAACTGTATTTTATGTGAAGTAATCTTCTAGAATGACATGGCCCGAAAATACATTTATAGTCCTAAAGGAGTCTTCCTGTTCCCGTCTGAATTAAGCAAGAGGCCGTAGAAAGTTTCTTTCAGATGTTGCTCAAGAGGTGAATAACACACACTTGGAATTGTTCAAAAGACATGGTATCGGAAAACTCGGATTATAATTCGCTAATGATTCCAAAGTTATTTGAAGATATTGAATCTTCGTTCATTTGGTTTACGCGGAAAGTTCCATTTTTCATTATCAAACAATCATGTAAGAAAAAGGTAGCATCTATTTTACTTTAAACAGTTTTAAAGTTTCTTTTTTAATAATGAGAGCGCGATTAACTTCTTCTAAGAAACTAAATTTTACTTAACGTATGTTTTTTAGTTGTTAGTAAAGAAACGTATTTAATAAATTTATTTAAATACTTCATTAATAAATTTGAAGGTTAGAATTTATCCTTTCCATTAAAATACTGAAGTGGAAGAAATAATTATTGTTTACACTTAAATTTACACACTCCATACTACTACTTTTTCATATAGTTTAATGCCAATAAGAGATTAAATAATCCTCTTCACAAAATTCATTTACAATTTTATATCACGAATAATGAAAGGATGGGGCACCTTTGATAAGTTTATAAAGATAATGACTTCTGCTTTTGGCAATGCAATTGGATTAATATGTTTCTTTATTTGGACGAATTATTCATTATCGATATAAATTATAGAAGAATTTTTTAAGAGGAATTAATTTAATGGCTTGTTCCCATGAAACTATATGACAAATTATTTTTCTTGTTTTAGTTCATTAATTATTTTATGAGTTTTAAATAAAAGCTTATTTTATATAAACATTTTTTAGTTTTATCTGTTTAGACTCCATGACACATTGGCAATTAAAACCATTTTGTATTTCCAACAATTCATTTATGAAAAATGGTCGGAAAAAATCCAGTGATACTTTAAATTTCGCCAAAAATTCGGAAACTACATTAAAATTTTTATGCAAACTTCATTTAAAAGGTTTCCCCCCCTTCTGTTTGAATCAGAACAAGCCAACGAAATTCGTCTTGGCAAGGAGTATAAGATAATGCATGTCGTTGGCAAAGGCCTTGAGCACCATGCAATGGGAATACTTTGACCGTAGCAACAAATGGGTATAGCAGACGGAAAAAAGCTTATAAAAATGCGGTTCGTTTTAAAAAATTATAAAAAGATGTCTAATTAATATTTTTTTTTATATAATTCTTGTTTTTAAGGTGTTTTATAAAAGGGTGAAGAGTTTTTTTTAGAACTGTCGAATATTTAAAATTTTTTAACCGATACATTTTTTGATGTTAGAATTTTAAAGTCCGTAAAAGAAAATTACAAAAGGACCAGTTAAAATTTATTCCCTTTATAATACTAATTTTTTCTAAGGGAAAAAAAGATTAATAATTGCATACATTATTAATTAAATCAGCAATCTAAATTAAAGTAATATCTGTATTGTTGATGGCTAATATTTGTAGCTAAGCTGCGCATTGTTTTAATTTTTAATACTTGAAAAATTTATGCTCTAAAATTATCATTTTTACTTACTTGTACGAAGTAAAAAGGGAGTATTGTAATCGCGAAAAGCTTCAGGCAGCATATTTCAACGAAATATCCACTTTGACCGCTATCGAATGCATTTAACGATGGTTTTTGCGTGATATCTGTACGTAGGACAGAATAAAAGACTCTTTTCCTCCAAAAAAATTAAAAACTGCTTAAAATGAATTCTGAAGAGAATTTTTCGTGGCGTCTGTACAACGTATGTACGTACGTGCGTCGAATGTACGTACGTACTTACGTTATCTAGCATAACTCAAAACGAGTAGCCTCAGAACGTTGAAATTTTGTATATAGGACTGCTATAACATGTAGATGTGCACCTCGTATTTTGGTTTCAATCGGCCGCACCAAACGTATATAAATATATTTATAATATATCCACTCTGTAACCCGGCTCAGTGATCTCAGT